TCAAGGCCCAGAAAGGTAGTAAGGACACCGTTAAAATAGTCCATGGTTCAATATTAATTTCATGAAGCTACGAGAATACTTTTTGTGCACTAAGAAAACAAAAATGACTTTATTCAACAATTTCTTCTCTTCCACATCAGTCTTCGATACATCTAGTTTGAATCAGATCCATCTAGATGTACTAAAATGCTTCTCAACAACATTTGGCATCATAATAGTGCTAATGTGTTCTGACCGAATCAGGGTTCTTTTTAATGATATATTTGTGTAGTCACTAGGTTGTTCTAGACGGTTGTTGGGTTATAGATTTATATTTTACATATAGAGGGCATTATAATAGAGAATTGTATATACTTTACATTTCAGTGAAAACACTATTTATGTTGTTTAAATTACAATATTTGAACATAGTTGCAAACCTCTTTTTAAAATGTTTCTATATTGTGGCTTCATAAACATGCTATAAGCTTAAGAATCTGTTGGTTTTGTTTATTAGTCACAAATACTTTACACTCTCCTTATACTGTATATATATTATATATATATAACACCATGACAGCTTCCAAGAGAATATGCCAAGCTAAAAAAAAAAAATATGTAACACAAATTATGTACAAAAATCTCATATTTACACATCAAAATAAAAAAAAATCTCTGTAGAGAGATATTTCCGTAAATGTGCTCTTATTTTCTTAATATCTGATGACATGATCTTTATTCCTAAAGTTGGTTACATTCACAGCAGATCACACTCGTCCCTCCAGAGACGAACATTTGGATTGATGACTACGGTCTTCTGCGTCAGTCTGAGATGTTTGAATGTATTTCTGCTCATATTCTTCCAAGATCTTCACCAAATCCTCATGGCCGAACTGCATGGCATCGTCCCGAGGAATATTTCCCCACCTGAATAAGAGATATGAGGTTAATTATCACCAAACGGATGAAGCTGAAGGTAACCGTATAAAGAAACGGGGCTCTGTACCGGTCTTTCACAAAAGGGTTGACTCTGCAGGACTGCATGAGAAATAGCACAACATCCATGTGACCTAAAACAGAGGAAAAACAGATGACAAATTAAACTTATGATTAAACAAATCATGTTTGGGACTAAAAGATTCTTTTAAGTTTACAGAAAACGATTTTACCCTCTGCAGCAGCTACATGAAGAGGTGTACGAGAGTCATAGTCCTTCAGATCCATATCCATGGATGAAAGGGCAAACCTGAGGAACAATGGAGGAAGTGGGCAGTAAGTAATCTATATTTCGGTAGCACTCAAAAATATGCAGTAATAAAGACATAAACTGTATAAAATGACCTTCTCAGAGCTGAGACATCTCCACTGTGGGCTGCAAACATCAGATTCACCACTGACTTATTCTAAAACACCAAATAAAGAGAATAAAG